AGGTAATATGGGTAGTTTAATAGATATTGCTATACTATGACTACACGGTTAGATCAGGTGCAGTTTACGCATCAATAAAACGGGTACTCCTATCTTTAACTCCAGTCTATTTTGACGCACCGAATAGCTTTAAAGAGTTAAGAAAATCCCCAAGGAATAGCACATGGCATCATTTGACAAATTTCCCAATCATTTTTATTTATTTTTCTAAAGTAATTAGTTTTTTTGATAACAACCGGATCTTTAATCATTTTTTTATACGATAGGGTGACAAACGAGCATACAGTCCGCCTGGTGTTAACTGGTTGCTGTGGCCCATAGACATCTACATCTATCCTTGATTACGAATCAAAATACAGATGCATCACCGGTGATGACTAAGACGGAATGCCTCGTTTCCAGTAGTCTTCGGTTCTCTAAACTCACCATACGAAACACAGCAGCATTGAGCTACTATTTTACGCTGGTATTCTGTAAGAGCGTGGTCCTTCCCCGGTTGAACGGACCCATTCTACAACTATACTACTAATATAACTGCAGCATGGCTCTATCAAGTATAAAACTTTACAATAAAAAGAGTTATGCGCGATTTTAATGTCGATAGCGCCATTTATATAAAATTCGGGTTGCTGCAATGTTCTTGCGTAACTTATCTTTATTCCATGACGTTCCCTAAACGAAATGTCCAATTTAAATGACTTTTAGACTAAATATTCACTAAATATAATACTCATCATTTTACAACAATATAATTAAAATGATAATTAATAATTATTATCAATAATTAATGTCGTTAAGTCTTGTGGTGCCACAGCCACTTTGACATAAAGTGATAGAGACAGCACGAAACTTAACGGCACCTTAAAATTGAGTAGCGTAAGCGTAAATTTTTACGCAAGCACGCGAACTTAAAGGAAGTAGAGATAATAGCAACTGCCGCACTGTATTTATTTAGTTTGGAAAATTATTTAGATGTGTCGCCATTCCTATTGCATAGGCAATCCACATGCTGTTGGATCAGACGTTAGCTGGAAACTGAATGGACAAATGGATGAATTTCTCCGCTCGCATATTTTGACTCGCGCCCCAAAAACCGCCCACAATACTAGAATAAAATTACGATGCAAATTGCGAGGTGAGTAGCGAGCGTAATGTTTTACGTTTTTGTGTTCGTTTCTAGGAATGGAGAGGTCACCTCTAGGCTGTTAATTATGTGTCACTTTTATTATACACTACCCGAAATGAAATGATAGAGATATAGCGGGGTTTACCACGTTAACCTTTTTATCCTTTTTTTGTACGCCCCAACTTTGTGTGGATCTGAATGACGCCACATTGACAGATACAATATCAATGTGGCATCATTCAGATTTAAGATAATCACCAAACACTATTTAATATATCAAGTTTTTTATTTCTCAAAAAATCTTTAAGATTTTCGGATCGAATATAGCCCTTTATTCGAATATAGATCACTTTTAGCATTGCTCTCTACGTGTTCGTGAAATTTCATTACAATCGGTTCAGCAATTCAAAGGAAACTCGGACAAATAGATAGACAAATTAAAAAAAAAGGTTATTGAGGCTTTAATGTCACGCAAATAACCCTTTTAGTTCAATAAAAGGCAGTTATTTCAAAATTACGACAGACACTTCAATTTTATTAATTTGTATAAATGACGGTAGAATAGTTGTTATTTATTTGTTTTTATTCACAAGGTTAGAATCGTAGCAGCTATAGACATATGAGCATGTTTCCAACTTCTGAGTTTCCTATGCAAATGCCTATGCAGCGTGCGGTCTGAGTAATTATTGTATATCAGACTGACGCCACTACGCTAGCAGTGTGTGCTTTAGTGGATTATCTAACTATTCACAGCACAGCTAGTGGAATAAATTTTAAAGTTATTTCATGACTTCATTGTATATTTTGTTTGTTAAATTTTAATTTTGTTTTTTTTTTAAAACCTGGCAACAAATTTATGTTAACAAAAATTATAATATTATGGGTGAATTTGAACTTAAAGCAAGACATCAGTGGCGTCTTTAGTATAAGGGAACATGGTGCACGACCCCAGGGCATCGGCTTAACAGGTGTCCCGAAATGATGAAATGTATGTCTACATTATATTTAATACAATTAAAATATATTTTTCTTGCATGTTGTATAAGAGCTAACCATTTATCTTTGAATAAAAAGACATTTAGATGTTTTAGTTATTTTTTTTAATTTTCACTTTATACAGGTCTCCAAACTTTAGGTGCCTCTATGGCCTTTATGGCTCTTTATGGCCTATAACAGTTCACAACGATAGTTTATTGACATTTCATTGTTATTGTTATATAATAGTCAAGTTTTTTTTACTACTAGGTAAACTAGATATTCGCAAAGGTGGGGGGGGGAAGGAGGCTTGTTCGGTATGAAAGGTGTATACATGCCGGTGAAATTGAACATGAACATGACACGTTTCATCTTCTCGTCTCAGGGTGACTAGTGCAATGCGACGCAACTTGGGTCATACCTTACTCAAGTAGGGCATTTCTGTTGTTACACGCAGAGGATAGCACTTAACACTATTCGTCCACTCGTATTAAGACCCCTTGTTTCGTCGGTGTTTTGGATGAGAGTCAAAGGACTGGCAATATGAGCGTAAGTGGCCAGCCACACACTCGCGCAAACACAGTACGAATCGAGCACTCCAGCGCTCGTTACGGAAACACGTCACGTGTCATTTAAAAATCAACAATAATAAAAATATAAGGTAGGTAAGTTAAATTGGTTGGCCTTGGGTTGGGTTTGGCAACAGGGTGTATGACTTGCATAACCTTGGTAACTTCTTGTCTCTACTGTGTTATTGATCCGTTTTAAACACAAAGTGGATTTACAAATCGATTTCAAATGTAGGTGTTTGGCTTTGGTCCAAAGGTCGTCGTGCATTTCGCTTAAACTAAAGAAGCATTTCTAGTTCTTCTCGTGTTTGAATTGAGTTGTTTGAAGTTCTAATGGATTCGATTAATCTACTTTCGTCAGTATTCGCTTAAGTCATTTGTCAATTGTACACGTACTTTAATTTCTAAAAGCTTTTAGCAGCTAATAGTTATGTTAAAATTTATTGTTTGAACATTTTTATTATATACATATATATACATAAACACTCACGCCTGTCACCCAGAGGGGTAGGCAGAGACTACAGACTTCCATTTGGCACGATCCTGACACACCTCTCTCGCCTCCTTCACATCCATACACCTACGCATACATGCTCGACGGTTAAGGGTACTCCTAATTTGGCCCGTTTTCAATAAATCGCCAATTTGGTCGATAAATTTTCGCCTAGGACGTCCCTTTCCGACTCTGCCATTCACTTCTGCAACATAAATTTTCTTTGTCACTCTTTCCTCATTCATTCTTTCCACATGACCAAACCACCGAAGCATTCCTTTCTTAATCCTGGTCACAACATTATCTTGCAAACCACACTCTTCTCTTATTACACAATTTCTTACCCTGTCGTTCAGATTCAGCCCTAACATACTCCTTAAGGACCGCATTTCTACTGCGTTGATTCTACTCTCATGCTTCTTCTGCCACACCCAACTTTCACTACCATACGTTAAAGTAGGGACCAACACAGCATTGTGAATTGCCATACGTGCCTTTTTTTGACACATTTTGACTCTTCACAATAGAGTGCAGGGCCCCATTTACTCTATTTCCCGCATTCACTCGTCGCTCTATATCCTTATCATATCTCCCATCCCTGCTAAATACGCAGCCCAAATATACAAACTCATCCACTTGCTCGATCAACTCCCCTTCTATTCTTATTTCACAAATCGTTTTACTTTCTTCTCTTTCAAAAACCATAACCTTCGTCTTACTTGCGTTCACTTTCATACCCCTTTCTTTTAATGATCTGTTCATTAATGTAACCATCATTTGCAACTCGGCCGCCGACGACGCAAGGATAACTTGATCATCGGCGTACAAAAGGCATTTGACGGTTAACTCACCCATTCTTAATCCGCATTCTTCAACTTTCAAATTTTGCAAACAACTGTCCATAAATAGGTTGAACAGCCACGGGGAAGCCACACAGCCCTGTCTGACACCTTTATGGATGTCAAACCAGTCCGAGTAGACCCCGTTGATTCTAACACAAGCACTAGAGTCCCTATAAAGAGACTCCAATGCCTGTATCAAGCCAGCGCTCAACCCAAATGAGTTCAGTGTTTGCCATAGCACATCCCTATCCACTCTGTCATAGGCCTTTTCCAAGTCCATGAACGCACAAAAAACCTTTTGGTTTTTGGCCAAAAACTTCTCCGCGATCATGCGCATGGAAAAGACTTGATCTGTACATCCCATTCCCTTTCTGAATCCCGCTTGCACATCCCAAATTTTTCCATCAGTTTCTTTCATGACCCTTTCAATCAGTACCTTAGCATACAGTTTTCCCACAATGCTAAGAAGGCTGATGCCACGGTAGTTTTTACAGTCCTGCTGCGACCCTTTTCCTTTATATACTGGGACTATCACGGCTTTGCACCAGTCTACCGGTACCCGCTTCAGTTCCCAGCATAAATTAAACAAGGTGTGCAGCAGGCCTGCCATGACTTCCTCTCCAGCCCTTAGCATTTCGAGTGAAACTCTATCATATCCGGCAGCCTTACCTGCTTTCATGCTTTTCATTGCTTTCATTATTTCATCTATACTTATCTCGCTACCTCTTTCCTCTTCTTTCGGAGTTTCTACTTCACTTATTACACACGTTGTCTCCTCACTCATAAACACGCTTTCAAAATATTCCTTCCATCTCTTTAAACTCAAAACTTCATCTTTCAGAATATAGCCATTCTCGTCTCTTATAACATTCATCATAGGCTCTTTTGAATGTCCCCTGGCAGTTCTTACAAGTTTCCAGAACATTTTAATATTTGCCTGGAAGTTATCCGATATTCTTCTATCATTCTTATCCGTTCTTTCTTGCTTTTTTCTTTCAACTACTTCTTTTACTCTCTTATTAAGATGTTTAAAGACTGCCTTTTTTCTTTCAATATCATCATTCGTACCGCTAGAATTACCAGCCTTTGTTGCTAGTAAATCTAGCCATGCTCTCTTCTTTGCTTCAACTTCCATACGTATCTCATCATCCCACCATAACGTATTATTTTTCTTTTCATTCTTTCTCTTACTAACACCACATACTTCGGTAGCTGCATCCACTAAACCTTTCTTTACATTTTGCCATACATTCTCCAAGTCTAACTCCTTCATACATAATTCATCCAAACCACTTATATTTTCTTTCAGTCTACATTTGAACTTGTTTCTCTCACCTTCATCTTGTAACCTTTCTGTTCTAATACGCTGTAACGCAGTGGTAGATACAGATGATCGATGGCGCCAACGCCTGAATAGACCATTAATTCGGCATAAAACCAAATAATGATCCGTTCCTACGTTAGAACCCCGGTAAACCCTTGTATCTACCACTGCGCCCCTCAATCTTTCATCCACAATTATGAAATCTATCATGCTTCTATCGTCACCTCTTTCCCAAGTATACATGTGAATCCTCTTGTGGCGAAAGCAAGTGTTCGTCACAAAAAGATTCTTTTCCATACATACGGTGAGGAGACTTTCACCATTCTCATTTATACTTTCATCACCAAACGTTCCCAATACCCTTTCATAACCAAGCCTCCTCACCCCAACCCTTCCATTAAAATCTCCTAGCATAATAATATTTTCATTTCCCTTACACTTCATTAACACCATCCTTACCATTTCCCAAAACTGCTCTCGGATATAAGTGGGCTTAGACATGTCTGGGGCGTAGACCCCTAACACAAACAACTTCTTTAAGCCCACTTTCATTCGTATCCATAGCAGTCTTGGGCTTACACATTCATACTCTTTCACACATTGGCCCATTCTTTCTGAAAGGATGATACCTACCCCCTGGCATGCCCGCTCGATCTCGTCTACACCAGACCAGTATGCGGTATACATGCCATGTGTAGTGACATCCTTCCCCTTCCTTTTCGTCTCATTTACACATAACACATCTATTCCTCTATCATACATCATATCGCACACTTCATCCATTTTATCATTCATTGCCCCACATACATTCAACGTAGCCAGACGGGCCTCTGCAATCCACTTTTCGCCTCTCCGGGAGACAGAACGTGACGGGTGGCGAACCTCGTCGCCGGTTTTCCTCCCGGAGATTCTTCGCACCCCTGCCCCATTAAAGGGGCGCCGGGAACTCGGGGCCATTTCTTTTATATAGTTCCTCATGTGCGAAAATATTGGGTGGTATGTTTTACGCCGCTACCACGGCGTGGAGCCGAGTCTGTGGTATCGGCTTGTCGCTCATTTAGCACCACCCGGGGGACACGTGTAGGGTGGGCCTAGGAATAGGTGGTCATAGCCTACGGACGCGAGCGACTTATCCCCCCTTATATTTTTATTATAATACAAACATGCTTACTACCCGGGCTAATCTTCAAATGGCTGGACCAATTGTAATCCCGAACATATAGAGTGCTATGCAAGCAGTGATCCAGTACGAGGGCGGCACTGAAAATTTCGGGAATCAAGGAAGTGACACAACATTACTATTTAAAATGTATTTATTGCTTTTCGAAGTATTCTTCGCGAAATTTGACACATTTTTCCATACGATGGAACCAACCATTGAAGCAACCATTCCATTCCACAGCTTCTTCAGGTGATGAAAACCTCTGTCCACGCAATTTATTATTTATTTTAGGGAAAGTATATAAATCATTAGGGCTTAGGTCTGGGCTGTACGGTGGATGGTCTAATAATTCTATGTTTTCTCGCTCTAAAAACTCTTTTGTTCTGTATGCGGTGTGAGACAATGCGAGTTGCATTGTCGTGATGGAGGATGATGCGGCGGTTGCAGTTCTCTTTACGGAGTTCAGAAACGACCTGTGGCAAACAAATGCTAGCATACCGTTCTGCATTAACCGCTCTTTGTCCCTCAAGAGGAATAGCCGTAACATGGCCGGTTTTGGAGATAAACGTGGCCACCGTTTTTTTGCAACACTCCGTGAACGAACAATTTTTGTTGGCTTTAACTCATTTTCGAACACCCAAACTCGTGACTGGTTTTTTGTTTCGGGTTCGTATATCCAGGATTCGTCATCTGATACGATGTTGTATACAGCATTTGATCATCCTGCGTGGAATCTTTCGAGAGTTCTGACGCACCAAGTAACGCGAGCCGCTTTTTGCTCTTCACAGAGCGAATGCGGTATCTATCGCGAAAACAACTTTTTTACACCTAATTTTTCATGCAAGATTATTTGTATTTGACTCATGACAATGTCTAAAGTTGCCTGAATTTTGCGGTATGTCACATGTCGATTTTCCTCAATCAGCTTACGCACAGCATCAATGTTTTCTTGGGTGACTGCAGTTTTTGGACGACCTTGACGGGGATCATCACTGAGCTTGACACGTCCACGTTGAAATTCAGCAAACCAGCGATAAATTGTGGTTTTGGATGGGGCTTCATCACCAAATGCAGAAGTCATCCGGTCAACACACTGTTTTTGTGTTAAACCACTTCGAAAGTCATAATAAATTATCGCTCTTGAATTTTCTCGAGTCAATTCCATTTTCTCAACGACTAAACAAGTTTGACTAAACCTTGTGACAAGACCGAGAATTTTTTTTTTTAAATAAATAAATGGTATTCGATTTTTAAAACCAAGGAGTTTTCGATTAAAAAGATTTTAATATGGCAGGAACAGTGGAAATATTCCATTCCCGATACATTTAGTGCAGCCTAGTATTTTGAATATTTGCCATATTTGCCACGCTTGGCGGGCGGGTTGGCAACTGCAGTTTTTTATTTACTATTCATTATTAGGAAGACGCTGCTGCCCATCTTTTTATATAAGAGAGGGCAAACGAGCATGTAGCTGATGGTAGATGACTACCGCGCCCATGAATAACTGCTACACCAGGGGTATTGCAGATGCGTTGCCGGCTTTTGTGAAAAGAGTAGGCTCTTTCATTCTTTTATTTCTTAGTTTGTTTTTCTCTGTCGTTCTTTCTGACTCTGACGGGACGATATGGGGTGGTGGATGGTCTTATACTACTTATTACTTACATAACCCAGTTTAGAATGGAATTCTCTTTTCCGGAAATGTCAAATTAGTAACGCGGTAGCGATTTATTTAATACGGAAAAATTGCTCGTCGGAGCTTTGTGTACATAATGGCACCTTTAAATCCTCATCGTATAAATCCTTTACAAAGAACGAATGAGCAAACAATGACTCATAGAAACGTGACGAAAGCACCTCGTAACGGATCACATTTGTTAATCTGGTTTGGAGGTTAATTCTGTGTTTTTTTTTTCTTTTCACTATAGTCTGTTAACTCCTACGAGCATTTAACCTTAGTTAACTCGCATTTGAAACTAATGTTACGAATGAGTAATAATGTTTTTATTACTAAGTGGTAGAACCCATTTTTCCCCAAGGAGTCCGACTAGGTGGATTCCTAATTTTTTATTTTTTATTTTTATTTTACAAAAACTAAAATACATACTACAACAAAGTTCATAAGTACAGTGCAACATAAACCTATATAAGATTTTCTGCACACTGCGGTTCGCCGTCTTTCAAGCGCAAACATTATTATTTAGGTAAGAAGGTAGTTCGCTCGTTTCTATGAAAATAACATGAAAATGAGTTGTATTGGCTATTTAGTTAGAGTAGTACCTATTACAGGCTGTTCGGAGGAAATATTATTTCACATTTTTAGAATTTACATATGGTAATTATATTACAAATAATGAATATGTTAGTTTTTAATTATATTATGTCAGTTGATGCAAAAAGTATCTTTTTAATTTGTATTTAATATTTTTGGAATTGATATTTTCCTTCAAGATTTTAGGTAGTTTATTAATTAATTTAGGAATAATAATCTTCCAACAAAAATAAAGCCATCCAATAACAGTACTTGCACCGCTGTGTTTCAATTTGAAGGGTATAGAGGGAAAGTTTAATTATAGATTGTGGAGCATTCCATCTTAGTACTCAGGGGTAAACAACGCATCTGTAGCGCTCTTTGTATGAAGTTGATTGCACGACTATGACATGATTCAGATTACAAGATGGACATAAGTTCACTCACTACTTCAGTTTTGTGAAAAAAAAATCATAAGAAGCATCATAACGTTACGTCTGTAATCCGGGGTTTAAGAACTTAGTTATTAAGGTTAATTGAAAACTCTTAATAATTAAAAAATATATACTTAGGTACAGATAAAGATACAGATAAAGATATTTTATTTTGCAAATATGGGTGCAGTACATGGAAATATAGGTAGTGAGTTCAGCCATATTTTACCAGTAGGCATGCAAAATATACAGAAATATAAACAAATCATCAAAACAGCTATAATAAAACACAAAAACAAACATAATTCAAATTTTTAACATTATACAGTCTTAAAAATAAAAAAAATTCAGTCAAGAATTCTGTTACGCTATAGTATGCTTTGACTGTCAAGAAGCTACGAAGCCTTTTTTTTAAATATCGATAGCGGCAATTCTTTCCAACTTTTTGGTATTTTATCATATATGACTGGAGCCATGCAGTATATACTTTTGCGCATTAGTGCTGTCTTAGCGGATTGATGACACAAAAGGGTATTGTCGCGTCTATTACGTGGAACTACTTGGTCAAGGCGTTTAAAACGTTTTGAATGCAATTTAACAAACACTGCTACTTTTAGTATGTATAAACAAGGTAATGTCAGTATTTTATACTGTTTAAAATATGGCATGCAACTATCGGTAGTTTCAAGCTTAAACATCGCCCTTATGCATCTTTTTTGAACCTTAAACGCTGATTCTTTTTCGGTTGAGTTACCCCAAAATATTATTCCATATCGGAGGTGGGATTCTGCTAAGCCGTAGTAAGCAGTGAGGAGTGCATCCGTGTATACTATTGAAGACAAAATATGTAAAGCATATTCGGTTTTACTAATTTTTTTACATAAAGTATTAATGGGTGCTTTCCAGTTAAGATGTTTATCTATTTCGAGACCAAGGAACTTTGCAGTTTCAACTTCTTTTACATCATTATTGTAGTGTACATTTAGGCTCGTGCTAGGAATCCGTTGACTGAAATAGATAACTTTTGTTTTATTTAAATTTATTTTTAAATTGTTTTCGTCTAACCAGTTTACAACTAATTTTAAGGAGTTATAATGTCATTTTCATAGGTCTCTACATTTTTACATGGTATTGTCACTGTGGTATCATCCGCAAACAGTGTTACTGGTTGCTCAATGCATTTAGGTAAGTCATTGATGTACAATATAAATATAAAAGGACCCAGCACACTCCCCTGTGGTACTTCAAATTTAACTTAGCGCTTTGACGATCGAAATATCTCTTCCTTCTTATTTGCTATATTAATTTGATTAATTTCAGTTATTTGTATTCTATATAGCCTCTAATGCCATAGGCTTCAAGTTTTTATAAAAGAGCAGCGTAATTTACGTAATCAAATGCCTTTGTCATGTCGCAAAATATGCCACAGACATGTCTACGTTTGTCGATATTGTTAATAATATTGTATAAAAAGTCATATATGGCCATATTGATTGTCCTATGTGGTCTAAATCCTTTTTGTTCCTCACATAAAATGTTATATTTTTCAATAAATTTATATATTTCCTTACATATATATCAAATATTTTTGAAATTACGGGAATAAGTGAGATGGGCCTATAATATTCCATTAGTTCTCTATTTTCCTTCTTAAACAGCGGTTTTATAATTGATGTTTTTAAGGCATCTGGGTACTTACCTGCGCTAATACTTAGGTTGATTAGATGACTTAGATGTCCGCATATTTCCATTGATATGTGTTTTAATATTTTTGTAGCAATGCCATCGTATCCCACGCTACTTGTATTATTTAACGACATTATTATTTTGTGAATATCTAGTGGAACACTAGGCGGCATGAACAGAGATTTACTGTTGGTATTTATTTTACAAGATTTATGTTTGTTAGGGACATCTATGTTTGCCTGAATATTATCGATAAAATAGTTGTTAAATGCTTCAGCGATGCATTGAGGATTTAATAGAGTTTGATCATTTACCTTAATTTTATTAATACTGCGTGTAGGTAAGTTGTATTTTGTTCGTTAAATATTTGCCAAGTTGTTTTAGACTTATTTTTAGATGCTTTTATTTTTTGGTTATTTTGTGCCTTTTGTGTCAATCTAATAATTTT